GACGAGTACGAGAGACGAGTACGAGAGACGAGTACGAGAGACGAGTACGAGAGACGAGTACGAGAGACAAGTACGAGAGACGAGTACGAGAGACGAGTACGAGAGACGAGTACAAGAGACGAGTACAAGAGACGAGTACGAGAGACGAGTACGAGAGACGAGTACGAGAGACGAGTATGAGTGACGAGTATGAACGACGGTTATGATTTTAAGCGATAAGTACGAGTGACGAGTATGAGCATAAGTGACGAGTATGAGCATAAGTGACGAGTATGAGTGACGAGTGAGAAATAAGCTACTGAGTGGCGAGTGAGCGCGCCGCGCGCGCCGCTGGCGTGCCGGTACTCACGGGGGCTCCTGCGGCACGGGCTCCACGGCGTCGCCCCTGCCGCCGCCGCCGCCGCCCGCAGCGCCGCGCGCGCGCAGGTCGCCGTCGCGCACGAGCGCCGACAGCAGGAAGCCCAGCGCGAGGACGGCGGTGAGCGCGAGGTTGGTGAGGCGGTCGCCCGCGTGCTCCAGCAGCTCCCCGGCGGCCAGCGTGAGCGCGATGCCCATCACCTCGGACGCGGCGTTCAGCATGCCCGACGACGTGCTCTCCGCCACGCCCGGCGTCAGCGCCGCCGCGTACTCGTACCCCACGCCCAGGTACCCTGCGCGCACGCCACACGCGACGACTTCACGTACACGTTGCGTTGGCGCATTATTGTTTTCGACTTACGGTAACGTTAACGGTCACCTGAAAGTTTACGTTAACAGCCAACTCAACGTTTACGTTAACGGTCACCTCAACGTTTACGTTAACAGTTACCTCAACGTTTGCGTTAAGGTTCACCTAAACATTTACGTTAACGGTCACCTCAACGTTTACGTTATCGGTCACCTCAACGTTTACGTTATCGGTCACCTCAACGTTTACGTTACCGGTCACCTGAAAGTTTACGTTAACGGCCAACTCAACGTTTACGTTAACGGTTACCTCAACGTTTACGTTAACGGTTACCTCAACGTTTACGTTAACAGTCACCTCAACGTTTACGTTAACAGTCACCTCAACGTTTACGTTAACAGTCACCTGAACGTTTACGTTAACAGTCACCTGAACGTTTACGTTAACAGTCATCTCAACATTTATGTTAACGTTCACCTTACAGTTAACGCCAACATTGACGTTTTCTGTTCACACTGTCGTGTTAGTTTAAGGTTGACTTTTCGCTTTAGCGTTTATGTTTTGTTTCAACATCGACTTTTGTCTTAACGTTCAACTTTTATTTCAACGTTAACATCTTACATTTTACAACGTAAACATTTACGTTAACATCTTACATTTTACAACGTAAACATTCCGTTTACAACGAAATATTTTACGTTAGTATTGGCGATTTACATTTAACGTTCAGAACGTTTTAGTGCACGTTTTAAGTTAACACTGGCGTTTTATGAAAACGATATGTAATGTCATCTGGCAAGGTGACATTACATATCGTTTTCATAAAACGCCAGTGTATATGTAATGTCACCTTGCCAGATGGCATTAAACGATTAAATTCGATTCAAAAGTTTAAGTCCGAAGTAAAAACTTTCCAGCTGCAAAACTCTTTCTATACAATTTCAGACTATTTCGAGCATCCAAAAGGCATGTAATATTAATTTTAACAATTACATTTAATGTATTGTATATCATTTGGATTGTGTAATTGTAAAGAATTGTAACAAGTTAGCTTCTGGGTCACTGACCCCCATCTCGATCAGGTTTTCGTCCAGTTTCCCTGATCCTCGAGAAAATGCTGAGATGGCCTCTTGTTTTGCTCTTGGACAAAAATGTAACTTCAAATTAACTTCTTCCTATAGCACGTCACACACAGTTTCAAACTGTTTTTGACGTAAATAAATAAATAAATAAATAAATAAACGACGTCGTTTAACGTTAATGTTTACGACATTATGTTTAATGTTAATGTCAAAGTTTTATGTAAACGTTGACATTAATGTTTACGTTAACAGCCTTTTTACGTCCACACAGACGTTTTATTTTAAGGTTGATGTTTCACTTTCATGTTCACGTTTTATTTTTACGTCGACGTTTATTTTAACAGTAAGGTTTTATGTCAACATTGAAGTTTTATGTTAAGGTTAACGTTTTACGTACAATTTTAACGTTAATATTGGAGATTTACGTTAACAGTCACATTTTACGCTAACATCGATGATTTAGTTTGCGGTTGAAGTTTTTCGTTAACGTTGGCATTAAAGCTAATGGTAACAACTTACGTTCACGACAAAGTTTTATATTAACGGTGACGTTTTATATTAACGGTGACGTTTTATTTTAAAGTAAACGTTTTATTTTAAAGTAAACGTTTTATTTTAAAGTTGATGTTTTATGTTAACGTTAACGTGTTACGTTAACATATTACGTTCCAGTGGGCGATATACATTAATGTTCGCGTTTTACGTTAATGCAGTCTTTGACATCGACATTTTATATTAACATTGACGCATTAAGTTAACGTGTACATTAACATTGACGTTTTATTTTAACGTTTACGAATTAAGTTAACGTGAACATTATTATCGTTTTACGTTATCGTTAACGATCACGTTTCATAAGCGTTAGTGTTCACATGAGCATGAATGCGTTCTTTTCAGATAGACTTTTCCGTTTACGTTGTTAACGTGCGTTTGAAAGGGAGGCGAGTGAGCGGAGCGGAGCGCACCGGTGGTGAAGAAGCCGAGCAGCGCGGCGGAGGCGTAGACGGCGGCGAGGCTGGCGGAGCGCAGGGCGAAGGCGAAGGCGAGCAGGCCGGCCAGCGCCAGCGCGTACACCAGCAGCGTGGTGCGCTTGTAGCGGCGCCAGCGGTCGAGCGCCAGGCCGCCGGCCACCGACCCGGCCACGCCGGCCACCACCATGGCCAGCCCCACGCGCCCAGCGTCCTCCTCCGCGCCCGGGAAGTGCGCCAGCAGCATCTGGCTGAGCAGCGTCGACACCGCGTAGAACACGCCCACGTTCAGCCCGTACGCGCACCACAGCAGCGCGAAGTCGCGGTTGCGCGCCAGCGCCCACAGCGACGCCCCGAACGACAGGCGGGCCGCGCCGCCCCCGCCGCCAACGCCGCCTGCGGCGGTTCCACGCAACTGTGCTAACGCCGCCCCGCAAGGCCCTACGTACTTCACGATGGCACTGCGTTTCGCGTCTTACTCGGGCGTACGAGGGTTGCCTTTTACATTTCAGGATTAGAGAATCATCGAAAATCACTTTATTGTTTTTTAAAATAGTCCCCATGAAGATCTATACACTTTGCATGCCTTTGAACCAATTGTCGAAGCACTTTTACCACTCTGATTGAGGTATCTCCAAAACATGCATTCTGAATGCAGCAACCGCTTCTTCAGGTGTCGAAAAACGTTCACCTCTCAGTTAATTTTTTACGTACGGGAATAAAAAGAAGTCATTCGGTGCCAAGTCAGGACTATACGGCGGATGACTCATAAAATCGATGTTTTGGGTGCTCAAAAATGCAGTTGTTTGAGCCGATGTGTGAGAGCTCGCATTGTCGTGGTGAAGAGTGATCCGTCTTCGGCGGTGGGTTTTCCTGATTTCTTGGAAGACTGCTGGCAAACAAATCGTTGTGTACCACTCAGAATTGACTGTTCTGTGTTTTTCTAGTAGTACGATGGCGACATGTCCAGTTTTTCCGAAAAAACAGGCGACCAGGGTTACCAAATCTCGAAACATAAAAGGCAACCTTCATATAGTAGTGCTGGATATGGTCACGATCATGCGACATCCTGCGGCACGACCGAGAGAGACGGAAAAAATACTGCCACAATGCCATCGTGAAGTAGTGCCTTGAGAGGCAGAGTTAGAATAATCGCAGTATAGTAGATCATCGTTGATGATAGACAACTGCACATGCGAAAAAAAAATTACAGGAGAAAGATGAATAGTACATTATGCAACGATAATGTATTTATACTCCGATTTATTTAGATTCATTATTAGTGATTCCCGACTACTAAAGGTGATTAGTCCCGTAAGTGTAGTACATGTTTTGTTAGGAAGGTGGTGGTGGAATTCCCCCGCTGGATGGATAAATGGGTTTTCCCAACCAGGTATCTCCTACCAGCGGGGCGCATCCCCGCCGGGACAAGCATTTAGCTCCCTACATGGGTCTCCCGGCATGGGCGATAGTGTAGTGAATGTTAAGTGCAAGTGTGGGAGTAAGGGGTGAGGATAGGACAAGGAAGAGGAAGGTGAGATCGCGCGCGGCCCGTGGCGCGTTTGGTAGGGTACTGTTCCGACATTCGCCTGGTGTTGATCGAAAAACCACGGAAAGCTACCGATCAGAGCAGACGGCCATTAGAATTCTCCTCCTGACAGCGGCTGAATTCGACCTAGCTGACAAGCTAGCGTCGAAAATCCTTCCGCCGTCGGGACTCAAACCTAGGAGCACCCGGTCAACGGGACTGCAGTGACATCAGTTGACGCACTGTGCCATCATTTCCGGTGAAGGTCCAGTGGCAAGATTTGCGACACTAGCTTGTCAGTTAGGTCGAATTCGGCCGCTGTCTGGAGCAGAATTCTAATGGCCGTCTGCTCTGATCGGTAACTTTCCTTGATTTCTCCCATCAACACCAGGCGAATGCGGTGCACCCTAACAAACGGCCATGGAAAGCGCGCGAACTTTCCTTCATCATCCTTGTCCTATCCTCACCCCTTATACATACTAACAAGCACTTCACTACCAGGAGAACGGTCGGTAGCTTAGAGCGTGTCCCGATGCCCCCCTGGTAGGAGATACCTGGTTGGGGAAACCCCGCTAGTCAACAGTACGTCAGCGTCACATCTCGCCATACAGTGAGGGAAACATCCCCCGAGCAAAACATGCACCACACTTACGGGATTAATGATCTTGGTACTTGACGTTCCCGGAATCACTAAAACAACCAATCCATCAAAAACTAGGGCCTCCTGGCGAGAAGCATTTCAGTGACTCTAGTTGACGCCCTGAGCCTCGTCAACTGTGTACTATGTACGTAGTGCTGTGTGTGTGCTCTCTACATAGTGCGTGTGTATGTGAATGTGACCTTACGTAGTGTGTATGTGCCATACGTAATGTATGTACTATACGTAATGTGTGTACCATGTACGTAGTGTGTGTGTGTGTGTGTGTGTGCGTGAGTGTGTGTGCACTGAACGTAGTGCGCACTGTAACAACTTACTTGTTACAGTATCATGGATTTGGTATACTCCAACGTTTCTTTTTTTCGGTGTGTGTGTGTGCCCTGTACGTAGTGTGTGTGTGTGTGTTTTACGTAGTGCGCACGCACTGTAACAAGTTTAATCGTTACAGTATCATGGATCTGCTATACTCCAACGGTTCTTTTTTCGGTGTGCGTGTGTGAGCCCTATACGTAGTGTGTGTGCCCTATATGTAGTGTGTGTGTGTGTGTGTGTGTGTGTGTGTGTGCTCTTTACGTAGTGCGCACGCACTGTAACAAGTTTCATCGTTACAGTATCATGGATCTGATCTACTCCAATGGTCCTTTTTTTGCAGTGTGTGTATGTGTGTGGGTGTGGGTGTGCGTGTGTGCGTGTGTGTGTGCGTGTGTGCGAGTGTGTGCGTGCGTGCGTGTGTGTGTGTGCGCGTGCTTGTGTGTGCGTGCGCGTGTGTGTGCGCGCGCGCGTGTGTGCATGTGTGGGTGTGTGCTTGTGTGTGTGCGTGTGTGCGTGCGTGTGTTTGCGTGCGTATGTGCGCGTGTGTGTCTGCGTGTGGGTGTGTGTGTGTACGTGTGTGAGTGTGTGTGGGTGTGTGGCGCACCGTTGGCGGCGGGCGGGGGCTCCTTGAGGGGCGCGGGCGGGCGCAACGGCAGCTGCTCGGGGCCCAGGCCGCCCTCCACCTCCGGGGCAGGCGCGGACGGCGGCGCGGCCTCGAACACTGCAACACACACACACACACAACTACAGTGAAACACGCACGTGCTTATAATTGGCGGAGGGACGATTTTTGCTGTTAACTCTCAAGTTTTAGAAAATTTATTTCTGCACGTTCCACAAGAATGCCTTCGAGGATATTTAACATTGTAAATTGGCATCACTGAGGACTTTGATCTCACAGTGAACATGAAGTAGGGATTGTTGACATTGTAACGTTGAATATATAAATTCTTTTAAACTAAAAAAAATGTAATTAGATATTTTAAGACACAGAGTTGAATAAGAGAAGAAGGTAATACATGTTATGTGATTTAGATGACATGGAATTTATTTTTTTGGAAATCTTGAAAGTATTCGTCGAGGAAATCGTCTAAATATTTGAAAAATGCATAAGTCAGAATTTTTTTCGGCTTCTTCTTGCAACTGCAAAAGGAACTTTTCCTTGGAATCAAATTTGTTCTGCATCATAAGTTATTTCGTTATGGTCACGAACATTTTCTGAAAATTTTAGTAGTTTTCGTGCAATATTGCGAGAAATGTGCAGTATTGAAAATATAAAAAACTCGAATTTCTAAAATATATTTTCTTTAAACTTTTCATAGGGATAGAGTAAAATAAATTGTATAAAATAACGTTTCAATGACAAAGAGTACCAAATTCGCATTTGCAATGCGGTTTAAACGACATTTTCTTATAAAAACGCTCCAATTTTTTCAACAAAAAGGACGAGTTTGTTACTATTTTTTAATATTCTTAAAGTAATATTTTGGTTCTACCAATAAGAAAGCGACAAATTGAGATTTTTTTTAAAACTAAGTGCTTTGTGTGGCGATAGTTGGCGGCTGACAAGAAGATGGGAGCAAGACCGAAAAGCAAGCTCAGCCAATAAAATTAAAATATTAACAAGTACGAGAAAGTCTATGCCATTCTGTACCACCACTATTAATTATAATTAACAACAACCACAATAGTAGTAGTAGTAGTAATAATAATAATAATAATAATAATAATCATAATAATAATAATATTCGTCTCCTACATTATTTTAGTAGCATACATACCTTTGCGGCTCTCATGCGCAACCAATCTTTATAAATGAAGTCTCCAAGAAAGACAATTTCATGAACGCGTGACGAATTGCACTTTTGACTTTAAAAATATAAAGGATTTGTTTAAAAAACGATCTAAATTTTCGTGTTCAAACCTACAATGGAAACGGAGCACGTGTTCTCAAGTTTCATTTTCACGATACCCTTAGAATAAATACCATCTCCGCTTTCATCGGCAGGATTCCCACGCAATCAACGAATATACGTATTGACATTATTTTTTGTGTGACAAGTTTGTGACAACCCACATTACTCGTATCTTATTACTCACTCTTATTCTTATTCAAAATCTATTTGTCCGTTTTTATCGCTCACTCCTCAAATTACAAAAACTCCGCTAATTTAAGTCAATACATATTTACGGACAACGTAGTTCAAGAAGGGAAATTATTTTTCTGAAAACGTGAATTAAAAATGCAATTTAATGATTTAAAAAATATGGTAACAAAATGGTATTTATTGCTCACATGTGAATATATTAGCTTAATTATTTTTTGGCTCAGAGTTGCTTTTCTTGAGGTACATAAGAGCATGCGAGAGTTCTCGCATGCATAAGCTAGTTGTTATTATTATTATTATTATTATTATTATTATTATTAATACAAATAATACTTAAAAAATAATCCTGGGAGACCAACGCCTTTGATTTCAGCGGGAAACCAAAACCGGAAAGATTCACCAAAACGTTTTTACGTTTATAGAATAAGTGCAATCTAACTCTACGTTAGAAGCATTTATTCCATAATAGTAGAAACGTTTCGTGAATCTTTACGTACACATCTTTATGTCTAATAAATTGGAATACAGAGTGTTTCAATACATGTTACAAATTTCTAGAGGTCGGAGAGAGGTAAAAAATGGCAATTGTTTGCCAATAAAAGTAGTAGGAAATTGCACTTGGCAGATATACATGCATTTTTATGCTCCAGATTTTTAGGAGAATCCTAATGCACAGTTTTTCGATGTCACGTTCAAAGCCAGTCGAGATTCCATGTACATGTCGAACATCTGTGACATGCCAGAAACTGCTTATGAGGTTGCTTACATGCCAGAAACAAATGTCACATTAAAAAATCCAAATAACTCGTATGCAATTTCGCACTACAGTAGAATCCCGGTATTCCGATTTAATCGGGGGTGTGGCCTGTTCGGAGTCGGAAATGTTCGGTTTATCCGAAAAATATACTGTACATATGCAAGTATATACCACAGGCAATTCATCGTAGCCTGCGATGTGAGAAATTGGCAACGTAGCGTAGCGGCATAAGGAAGTGGCAATGCTGCAAACAAAGGAGTACAGGGCGTACATAACCGCTCGCATGCGGTAGCGGTTGCAACGTTGTTTAGAACAGTTGAAGTACAGCCTGTGTCGCTGCTATTAACGGGTATTCTACGTACAGTATTCAGAATTGGGTTGACTTACACTGGGTCCATGATTTTTCATTCAGAAAGTAAATTAATAGGAATACTTTTTTTTGTTTACTTTTTCCACCATCCCGAATTTTGTTTGGATTATCCGAAATTTCGGATTTACGGGGTTTGGATAAGCGGTTTTTTTTCTGTTCATTTTCACTGGCAACAGGCTCATCATAGGTGACGCCTCTACATGTCCTAAAAGTGTGCAACATTTATTCCGAGAGGCTCTGTACAGCGAAGAGGGCCGAAGAAGCGACTCACGGAAGAGGATGAGCAGGAAGAGCAGCGTGGGCGCGGCCGCCAGCGCCACGTGCAGCCAGAGCAGCTCCCGGGTGACGTCCTCCGGGCCCCCCTCCGCGCTCACCACCGCCGGCGGCACCACGAACCCCACCGCGATGCCCACCTGCAGCGCGCGCACACGTCGCTCAACGCGCACACAACTCAACGCGCACACCACTCAACGCGCACACCATTCAACGCGCACACCACTCAACGCGCACACCACTCAACGCGCACACACGCACACAACTCAACTCCCACACAACTCAACTCCCACACACGCACACAACTCAACTCCTACACACGCCCACAACTCAACTCGCCCACACGCACACAACTCAACTCACTCACACGCACACAACTCAACTCACCCATACGCACACAACTCAACTCCTACACACGCACACAACTCAACTCGCCCACACGCACACAACTCAACACGCACACAACTCAACACGCACACAACTCAACACGCACACAACTCAACACGCACACACGCATACAACTCAACGCGCGCGCACGCACACAACTCAACTCGCCCACACACGCACAACTCAACGCTCACACGCACCATTCAACGCACGCACACACATCACCTAATGCACACACACTACTCACCGCACAAACTAATTTTTAGATTCAAAACATTTCATTCTAATTTTTTTTTAAATTCAAATTGTATCTCAATCCATATTAAATTCAACATTTAAACAAAACTATATTCTCTCATTTCAAATTATCAATAAACAAAAAATATATTTACCACATAAAATCGATATCAAAATGAAATGCATAAACACATGTCGCGCGGTTGCCCACCTGGTTGCCGAAGACGCCGAGGGCGCAGGCGGTGGCCACCTGGCCGGGCGGGAACCACAGCGCCGCCAGCCGCGCCGGCGCCCCCAGCGTGAACATCTGCGCCGCGCCCACCAGCGCCTGGCCGGCGAACGCCACGGCGAAGCGGTCGGGCCACGAGCCCAGGGCTTTGAGCCAGCCGCCCAGCGCCGTCAGCCCCGCGCCCAGCGCCACCGCCACCCGCAGCCCCTGCGCGCGCGCACACACACAGACGCCTTCACACAGACGCCTTCGGGATTGGAAAGCGATTGGCCGGGGTTTGAAAGCCGTTGGCCGTTCTTAGAAAACCATGAACTCGAGGAAGTCCTATCTCAAATTGTCGGGGCTCTATCTCAAATTGTCGGGGCTCTATCTCAAATTGTCGGAGTTCTATCTCAAATTGTCGGAGTTCTATCTCAAATTGTCAGAGTTCAATCTCAAATTGTAAGAGTTCAATCTCAAATTGTCGGAGTTCAATCTCAAATTGTCGGAGTTCAATCTCAAATTGTCGGAGTTCTATCTCAAATTGTCGGAGTTCTATCTCAAATTGATGGAGTCCTATCTCAAATTGATGGAGTTTGGTATCTGGTGGAGTATGATATAAATATGCATGCGATTGGCCTCGCTTTCAAAGCGACCGGCCTCACTTTCAAAGCGACCGGCCTCGCTTTCAAAGCGACCGGCCTCGCTTTCAAAGCGACCGGCCTCGCTTTCAAAGCGACCGGCCTCGCTTTCAAAGCGACCGGCCTCGCTTTCAAAGCGACCGGCCTGATGTGATGTGTGTTAGGGTCTGCTGCGCTGCAAGACGCACCTTCTTGTCGGTGATCCAGGAGGCCGGGAAGACGAGCGGCACGTAGGCGGCCATGAAGACCATGGAGGTCCAGTTGATGGCGGCGGGGCCCACGCCGTAGAAGCGCTGCGCCACGCCGGCGATGATGGCGAACTGCAGCCAGTGGGCGGCGTTGGCGGCGGAGGTGGCGGCGAACAGCGCCAGCATCAGCCACCGCCGCCGCGGCGCCCGCCGCCCGCCGCCGCCCTTCGCGTCGCCCATCTGCGGCGCGCCACACACGCATCAACACAGTTCTTTTTAGAAATATTTCACAATACTAACATTAGCTCTATTTCTTGCTTCTCTCCATTTGCGATTCAAGCGAAAAGACTCGTGCAGACAAAGACTCATGGAGACAACATGGAGATGGTCAGATCGTCTCTTTTTTCTTTTAGTCGCTAGATTGATTGAGTTTAAGTGATTCCGGTCGCGTCAACTACTAGGGTCATTACTCCCATAAGTGTAGTGCATGTTTTCTCCTCTGGAGGTGGCGGTGATCCCCTGCGGAATGGCGAGATCGGGCGCCGACCTACCGCCGGCTAGCGGGTTTTTCCCCAGCCAGGTATCTCCCACCTGCGGGTCACCGCCCCAACCGGGACAAGCTAAGCTTCTGACCGGTCTCCCGCATGTGTGGTAGTGTAGTGCATGTTAACAAGTGTGTGTAAGAGGTGAGTATAGGACGAGGAAGAGGTAGGAAAGATGGCGCGCAGTCTGTGGCCCGTTTGTTAGGGTACTGCTTCGGCATTTGCGTGGCTTTCATCGAAAAGAACACGGAAAACTACCGATCAGAGCAGCCGGCCGATAGAATTCTCCTCCAGACAGCGACTGAGCTCCACCTTAGCTATCTAGTGAGAGTCGCAAACCCTTCCACTGTCGGGACTTGAACCTAAGATCTCCCGGTCAAAGGGACTCCAGTGACATCAGTTGATGTCCTGAGCCACCTCTACCGAACCCGGTCTGGCGTTGTAGAGAGACGGGCAATGGTGAGAGAGTGGGGCTAGCCCTTTCCCAAGGCCCTAGATACGGATAGCAGAGCATGGTTGTCATGCCTGGCAGGGCGAAGGCACAGCTGGAAGTCGCTTCTATAGATTTATAGATTTATTTAGTCAAAAAACACTAAAAACTGTATGTGACGTATGGGGGAGAAGATAATCTGAGCACGTTTTTTGAGTTCCAGAATACCTTCCCGACATTTTAACTATAAATAGTAGAAAAATGAGTAAAAGTTTAAAATAAATAAATAATAAAAAATTTTTAAAAAGCGATATTAGCAATATTTGAAAAAAACAGACACTTTCGTTCCTAAGTTATAGAAAACTTATTTGCATCGGTACACGAATTGCAAGTATGATTTTTCTGCATTGCTAACAAATAGTAACTCGCCTTTACCGCTACTCTTACCATTACAAGCAAAAGGAGAGTTCAACAAAACGTGCGCATAGTGAAGCTACATTTACGTACGGAAGCAAAACAAAGGTCATCTCAGTATTTGCTCAATGGATCAGGGAATCTGGACGAAAACCTGATCAAGATGGGGGTAATTGACTCACAGGCTGACGTACATTATTTATTACAAGTACATTAGATCTGTTTTAAAAAAATATACAATACAAATGAAAAGTAATTCATTATATATAACTGTTTAGTTAAATAAACATTATTTTTCTTTTCGTTTATCGGTATAGTCTCTAATTGTATACAACAGTTACGCAGCAGAAAAGATTTTACTTTCAACTTTCATTTGTGTACCGACTTCGGCTGTTTAATGTCATCTGGCAATGCATTGTGAAGTAACGTACATGTATTGCATGGGGATTTCTGGTAGTGAGCTGTTGATACTGACACTTGATTAATGTGATTTCTACGACGTGTGTTGTAATCATAAATATCAGTATTGCATGAAAATTTAAGTAAGTCAGTTATGACAAATATGACGGATTCGTAAATAAATAGGCAAGAGAAGATTTCAAGCTCAATGAAGAGAAACTTGCAGGGTTCACACAGATGGCATATTTTCATTATTTGAATCATTTTCATTTGCAATCTAGAGGTTGGGATACTACATGAGATTCCCTATTACAAGACGGCGATGGTGCAACGGTTAGCGTATCGGACTGTTATACCAAAGTTGGCGGGTTCAAGCCCGATCGAAGCCGTGGATCCTTCGGAGGAGAATAAAGCAGGCTGTCGTGTGTTAGTAGAATTACTTGCATAAAAGAGATATTCAAGCCTAGATGACGCCTCTGAGCTAAACTCAAATCGCCTGTTTTCTCACTAAAGAAATACCTCCTTTCTCTCCTAGTTGGTGAAAGGAACGTAGCGAAATTTGCGTGGTCAGACGGAAGATCGGGCCTCATGGCCCGAGGCTCGCCACGTAAAATAAGGCATCAATTCAATTCAATCCCTACAATAGTATGCCATATCTCAGGCGGGAATGCACATTTGAAAAATACACGTAACGAGCTGCATGAAGGCCAACAGAATTGAAAGAATTCTGAATGTGTAACATAATGAACTTAATTTAGTGTTTAATTCTGTTATATATACATTCCATTTCAGGTTTGACTGAATTGAGAGACCTAGAAATTTTGTTACCTTACCATCAACTAATTGCATATTGTTCATTTTCAATGGAGCATGCGATTGTTGATTTGAAATGCGAAAATGCATTGAAACTTCGTTAACTATTTTTCCTTCGTTAACTATTAATTAAAAATTCCGATTCGAACAACAGGTGGCGAGGTAAGAACGCTCATCGCCCATTTTTGAACACCGGTGTTCCAATTCCTGTCTAATTCCAATCCCATGTTGGATTTGGAATGAAAAGCACAGGTTCAGTGCACGCAGGGTTAGGCAGTATTTAAATACTTGTAGTTTAAATACATATTTTAAATACATTTCTTTTTTTAGTTTTTTTGGGGGTGTATGGATATTAGAGACTCATTTAAATACATAAATTAGGTGTATTTAAAAAAGAAAAACTTAAAATACTTCAAGTACAGACGAAAGAGAAGATTGTCTAGAAAGAGTAGTTTCTTTTTGTTTGGTTCCGCTAGTGAAAGCAGCTCAGTGAAACAAAAATAAAAGCTCCTTTCAGCTGTTGAATTTGGATTCTCTTCATTTTTAACTGATAAATCTACACCATTAAAAATGCTAGACAATTATCCGGCAATAAAAACAGCGTTTACTAATTATAACACTAGTTTATGTTCATCCACACCAATTGAATGACTGTTTCCGTCGTAGGTTTTATACATTAATCAACAAAGGGTTTATTGTGTGATAATTTGTTCGAAAGATTAGTCGTTTTAAAAGGAAATTCTGCTTATTTGTGTTCGACATATTTTTGATATCATTTTAAATATGAAAATGTTTATAGATGTTTAAAATAAATTACAATAGTTATTATTCAGAAATTTGTATGACTGTAAACTGTATGACTGAGTATTTAGTGTTATTGTCAAATACAATATATTGTTGCAATAAAAATATAATGCAAAATTCTTACATATTATAGAATTTTGAGTATTTGAAGTATTTTAAATATCTATTTTTGACACATCATGCCTTAAAGTATTTTGTGTATGTACTTAAATACTTGTTTATACGATAAAGTATTTTACCGCAGTATTTAAATGTTAAACTTAAAGTATTTTGCCCAACCTTGACTGCACGTATCCTAAGGATTTTGTCTATGACTCTCTCATTGCCCTACAATACCATCATATCTCTGTTTTAAAAAAGGTGTCTTTCTTATTGGCCGTGTTTCGGAACGCCCTCCTAATTGTCAAAAACAGGTTTCCTCCAAGGATACTGCCGAATGCAGAGAGCGAGGTCAAAACTACTGCGACAAAAACAGGCCGAGAGGCACCGCTTTGGCGGGGTGTTCATTGCTAAGGGGCGGATTTTGATGACCTAAAACATTGCCAAAAATGATCGATAAAATTAAAATGCTTAAAATGCCTTAAAAATGCCATACAAACAAAGAAAAATTATGCAAACAATTTGATCAAAATCACTTCAGATGAACAATTCATGCTGTTGGATTTGTTACTGATGTAGTTGAGGCCTATTTCTTTTGTTCAAATGAACTAAGGTTGCATACTTTTGGTTTGGACTATTTTTTAAAAGAAAATCTCTGCCTTTATTTATCGCGAAATCGGCCGAATTGGCCATGGCGCCGATAGGCGTTACAGGAACCTTAGATTGCATAGCACTCACAACGGCTGACATTACAATATATGAGCAAAGAAATGAAATAGGCTACTCAGGAATTCTGTGGTGAACATTTTTTGCACCTCGTAAATATTGTTTGAAGAAAGTACTATTAAAATAATATTAAAATCGATTGAATCAGCGAAAAGTGCAGTAAAAATTACGTAAAAATGTAAAAAATTACTTATTAGTCGAAATCGACGCAAAATGCAAAAACTATCATATAAAAATGGGTTATTTCGTTTCGTCTTACCAGAAAATAAATTTATATACTAAGTGGCATTGTTCTGAAGTGAAAAGAAAAAATTGACATTTAATTAAAATCCGCCCCTACTCACTACCTCTTCCTCTGCCTCTGACTCATCCTTCATGACGCGCACAGGATTGTAAAAGTAGACAAATTTTCGTCTTGTGTACGCGATCTGTAATATCTATTTATTGCGATAACAAAATAGGAAGCAAAGCACTGTTGTCCACATTCGTCGAAACGAGAAAAAAAAACTGATCGAGATTTTCCCGCCAGGGGGGGGGGCATTGATCGCATAGTTTCTAGTGGAGATTTGTAGATGACCACCCAAACCATGAGTTCCACGTCGGACACACGTCGATAGCATAACGGTGATTGCAGAGAGTTAAGTAGTGCTCTCCCGCATTATCTTTCTCACAGTTGTAATCTACAATATAATCCTAAAAATACACCACTTGATTTGCAAAAATCGAGCAAGTTATGAAAGTAATGGAATCAGAATCATCATATAATCCACATACAATATGAATTTACCAATTTCTACTAATAATGGTTTAAAATATTTGAGAACAGATTGGATTAGAAATACACAATGTCCATTTTTGTTAGGTGATGCGGGTTTTTAGCAACACTATAATTTTTCTTTTAATTGAACATGCTACTTTTTAGGTTTCTTGTTCATTTTGAGGCTTTAGAAGTATTATATACGAATTTTATCTTGCCTATAAATGCCTACAGTAGTGCTAAAAAGCATCATCTTTCTCACAGTTGTAATCTGCAATATAATCCTAAAAATACACCACTTGATTTGCAAAAATCGAGC